CAAACATGTGTGTATTTTTGAATCTTTGATACACATTGTTTAAATTCCCTTGAGAAATGTGTTCTTCCACTGTGTCTGAGAGATCCTGATAGTCTCTTTCCTACCTTCGCCGAGTACATTTTACAAATCCTCATCAATAGTATAGGTAGAAAATGCCACCTTATTGTTTTAATTTGCATTTCTTTGATAACTGCTGAGGTTGAACATTTTCTTATTTGTCATTTACTGATTATATTTCTTCATTTATTGGTTTTATCTTTCTGTTCTTTGCCCCTTTTCTATTAGAGTGATCATCTTTATCTTATTAATTTGTAAGAATTCTTACTAAATTAGCTAAGTTAACTCTCTGTCGTACATGTTGGGAATACTGCCCTGGTGTGTCTTTTGTCTTTAGAGTAGTTCAGACCACCTTTTGGTGGAAAGAAATTTTGAGGTTATAGTCAAATACATTCTCTTCCTTTATCATTTCTGCCACTAGAAATTAATAAGGCCTTCCTTATTCCAAGATCATTTAATTTTTATTTGCATTTTCTTCCATGTCACTAGTTTTTGATGTGTGCAATATTTCTTCCAAGTCTGTCACAAGGGGGACTAGGCCACTGCCTGCAGAAAAACGAGAGTGGAGACTCCTTGAATATAGATGAGTCATTTGGTGAAACCTTCAAGAGTGTCCTAGAGAGGGGAAGAGAGAGATCTATGTTTATTATTCACCGATTCCCTACATTGCATCCAGTAGCTCTCTCAACTTGCTCTTCAAGTGAAAGAAATTTAAAATGGCAAAAGTTTTAATGTTAGGTGTATGTTTAAATAGTAAACCTCTGAAATAAGATGACTCTCCTTACCTTGGCCAAAACAGAAGCTCTGGATGACAAAGACCTTTATTTTGTTCACTGATGTTCTACAAGCGCAGTGTGTGGTACATGGTACGCACTTGGTAAGTGTGTGTTGGAGAAGCTGATGTTTAATCAAGTAGAGTCGTGTGTATGCCAGGTGGAGAGCTGGGGGTAATGAGTTCTGAACTTCACTGCTTCATATTAAGGAGGTGCCAAGTAAGAAAAACTCTAAATGAAGGCAGAAACTAAATTTCAGTTTTACTCTTTAGTTGACTCTAAAGATATTGACCTGAGTGTAAAGGTGAAACTGCCTCAAACCTGGCACAGTAAAATATTCAGAGAAAAAGTTCTGCTGGGTAGATATTAAGCAAAACAGTAGCATCCACCCACCAAGAGAGATAAGAGGCACAGCTCTACTTCATTTGATGCTATGGCATTTGTCCGGAGCAACAGCGATCAGATCTGGCTTTATTTGAACATAAGAAGGAAGAAACAATTCTCAAGAAGGTTCCTTTTCACTGTGTGGGGGAGGGGAGCATTCTGTATAATAATGGAGACATCGAGGATTTTTCCATCAGATGGAGTGTCCTCATAAATTCAAGGTAGACAACAGCATGTGATATGCCTTCATGAAAATGATGACCACAAGGGAAAGAGTTTAAGATCGTAATTCCAAGGCTGCTGCTAGGAAGAGGGTGCTTTCAAGAGAGGAACACCGTTCCTGTGAGTGTGGCTCTGTGAACTTACAAGGTGGTGTGTACCGAATACACATCCTCCTGCCCCCCTGGCCTCTACAAAATCCCATCCTGTCCAACGTGCCTCCAATTTGGCTATGATTTTTAAGTAACACACTAAAATCCTTTCTTTACAGCATGATAATAGATAAGTAACACAGATATAAAACATGAACCCTTCTTACTAGCAATAATTTGTGTCATATAATCTATCTTTATACATATTAACAAGAGAATGCCTGAGGGGCGCCTGGGTGGCTCAGTCGTTAAGCGTCTGCCTTCGGCTCAGGTCATGATCCCAGGATCCTGGGACTGAGCCCCGCATCGGGCTCCCTGCTCAGCGGGAAGCCTGCTTGTCCCTCTCCCACTCCCCCTGCTTGTGTTCCCTCTCTTGCTATGTCTCTCTCTGTCAAATAAATAAAATCTTAAAAAAAAAAAAAAAAAAAAAAAAAGAGAATGCCTGAGAAAGTAGAGAGGACAAAAACTTTTGATAAATTTAAAGTTAAATCCTGATTATAAAGTTTTGGATCAACATAAAGATCGGAAAGTCAGCGCTTGCAAAAAGATCTAAGGAGAGTATGGAAACTGCAAAGATGGGTCTCCAAGTGTGCACGAGAGCCAGGGAGAAGGAGAACCCTGGGGAAACCTGTGCACCCACAATCTCTTTAACATGCAAGGCTAGAACATAAAGCCCCAAATGAACAACCATTCAAGCCTGTTTATAATACTAAAAAGGTGAATAAACGTGAGGATATCCGCTCTGTAGAAATCTTATTTATATACAAATGCACCAGTGTGCTAGCTGTGTGAGGCCTGGAACTGCACCCCTTCCTGCTGTGACCCCAAACTCTGCCACAGATAGAGGTTCAAGAATATGAGGAATGAAGCCCCTACTTGGTGGACAGCAGTTCACTGACTATCAGGTTAGCCTGGTTAAATTGGTCAAACGGTCAAGCCCTTGTGCCATGGGGGTCCTTCCGGTTGTTTTCTAGAGATGTCATCTCTAAATAACCCCAAAGAGAGATGTCAGTGCCTCACAGCAATCAGAATCGCCCCATTGCTTCACAGGAATCACACCGGACCCTAGAATACTGTGCCACCCTGCATCTTGACACCTCCCCAGTTAAAGTGTCCCATAAGCGAGCTGGGGTTTGGGAAGGAAGGAGAGTTATGACAGCGTATGTCCAAGGAAGTGGAAAGCGCACAATTCAAAAGTCTCCAACTTTCTAGGAACAAATCTACTTAGAAAATCAATCACACCCACAAAAATATTTCCAACATTCTAACTTACGTGTCCTAATTGATGAGATGATTGTCTGGTTTTATTTACGCCGAGATCTATTTCCTCCCCAGAGGGTGATCTATTCTTTGTCTTATGCCAAGAAAACCATAAGAAAAATGCTGACCTATGAAGGTTACACATCATGCTTAATCACTACTTTAAATTAAAATAACATAAAATAAAGCACTCATTGGGCCACGTAGGCAAAACACACCTTCCCAAGCAACAGACACACCTACTGAAACACTTGAAATGTCTGCGGAATCTGGTTCCCAGCTGCGTTATCAAGAGCCAAACCCTGACATCAGGTCTTCAGTTGCCCTGGAGAAACTTCGGGCTGGGCTGTCATAGCAAACTGTGCCTGCCATTCAGATTTCCCAAGAGTTGTCTTCGAGTTTCAGGACACCAAACTCTAACTAACAGATGCCAAGGTTTGCAATGACCACAGCGAGGCAACTCCTCTCTTCCCCACCCTCCAGTCATGACCTTGGGGTGGAATACCTCCGTACTTTTCCAGTATTCCAGAAACTCACAAAGACTCTCAAAGATTGCTTAAAGCTAAGTATTTAAGCCAGTGGTGGTGGTGGTGGTGGGGTGGTCAGAACAAGGTTTCCTTCTCTTGGCCAAATGAAAATCTCTCAGAAACAATTGCTTATTATTTTCTGGTCTCTTCCAGTGGGGGTAAAGCAGACACCCCGAGAAGGCCAGACAAATGGCCATCAGAAAAATCATCACTGGGAAGGGGTTCTTAGTAAAAGACTCTCAACAAACTAAATGGGTTTTCTTAAAGCCCATTTAAAGGGATTCCATAATACTTTTTGAAGACCACACTGTCTCAAAGTGCTAACTCCACCACAACCCATGGCTAATGTGATAATTTACCTCTTCTTGTAGGCCTCTGGAAATGTCTCTCCCTTGTATTAGATCCTTCAGTGGCTCTCAGAATTGGACCCTTACCTCGTTCTCTGGGCTCATATCTACCACCTTCCCCCAGTGCAGTGGTTCTCAGCAGGGGATATTTTTGTTCCCCTAAGGGACACTGGCCAATGTGGGAGAAAGTTTTTGGTTGTCAGGACTGAAGTGGGGGAAAGGGGATGCTATTGAATATCCTTCAATGTGGAAGACAGCCTCTCACTACAAAGAATTACTCAGCTCAAATTGTTAACAGTGTTGAGATATCCTGCTGTACCAAGTTCTTTGTTCTCTAAACATGCCAGACTTTCTCATATGCTTTGTGCCTAAACATAGCCTGTTTCCTTTACCTGGAATGCCCTGCCCTACTTCTGTGTCTAAGAAATGACCATTTATCATTCAGGATCTGACTCAAAATGTCACCTACTCTAAAGTCCTTTCCATATCTCCCAAAGTTGGCTATTGCTTCTGTGCTTCCAGAGTTTCTGGTACATATCTCATTAAAACACTAGCCACACTATCCCTAAGCCTGTCACCTGCTGCAGACAAAACCTAAGCCTCATTCATTGTTCATCCTTGAGTGCCCATCTGGTAATCAATTACTACTTGCTGAGTCAATCAAGGAATAAATGGAAATGTTGCAGATGCACCTAAGGTTCTCCTGCAACAACTTCTAAGGGACAACAGTGTCCTCAACATCAAAAACAACAGCAAATATTTATCAAATACTTGTAATATAGATAGGTACTATATTAAACACTGGTGCACATATTCTCTCATGTTCATCCTTTTAACAACCCTGTGAGGCAAGTACTGTTATCATCAGCATTTTACAGATGAGGAAACTGAGGCACAGAAAAGTTAAGCCACTTGCCCAAGGTCATCAAAGCTAGCATATGGAAGAGCTGATATTTAAACCCAGGTAGTCTGGCTCCAGAGACTCAATCTTCCAATATTTATGCCAAGGCAGTTATATTAACAACCAGTATTTCAGCCACTCAGAAGCCTCTGACAAACATAGTGACACATCTGGAAGATTATTACAACCACAGTGTGGCCACCACCTCTTGGGACCCTGCCTATAAACACTACTCGCTGGGGTAACACAGCTCTCCAACCTCTGGAATGCTTGTGGCAGGAGAAGCAACCTCCTCACACTGTGGAAAGGCATTATGTACCCAGAAAAATCATGGTCCCATAAAGAAGACACAAAGGCTGACTCCCCAAAGTATCTCTTACCTTGTTCATGCTGCAGGGACTGGAGTAAGGGCTCAGACATGTCACAGTGCGAGGCAGCTCTTGAAGATTCTCCTCGTTGCTGTAGACCTCACTTCCTGAAGCAGACAGCTGCACTGCAAACACAAAGAGGATATCCATCAGCTGGCGCTCAGGAAGACACAGAGTAGTCCTGTGTCCAGTGGAACTTTCTGCCATGATGGCAATGCTCCATGCCTGCACTATTCAATATGGTAGCTCCTAGCCACATGTGGCTACTGATCACTTGAGATGTGGCTAGTGCAACTAAGGGCTGAATTTTAAATTTTATGTAATTTTAATTAAATTTAAATGTAAATAGCCACATGTGGTTGGTGGCTATCCTACCGGACAGTCCAGGTCTAGAGATTCAAATCAGAAGTCTTGAGATCACAGACACTAGACATGCCAGTGGCCAAGGAAAAGCTGGATATCACATGCTCAGAATGACTACCGACACAGCAGAACAAGAACATTCATTCAGTAACTATTTCCTCAGTCCTTACTAAGTGCAGGGTACTGAGGACATAGTGATCAATAAGCCAGACAGGTCACTTATTTAAAAGTTTCCCGCTCAGGCTTTGGCCTCCTTGGGAAGGGAGAGGATCTGGCATGTGAGCAGTACTTACTCTGTGCTGATCTCAGTGCCTTCCCTGCCACCTACAAGGAAGAGACAGGCATTTGCTGAAGACTGACTACACCACTGTCAGGGCTTAATAGATAGGACCTTCCATAGAGCTCCTACCAGAAGGGAATTCAGGAGGTCAGTTTTCCATGAGCCAAATGAACCAGATGATTCAACATCCCCTCAGATGGATTATTTAGGGAGGCTTTTTGATTTACTCGAATGACATTTTAGAGTAAAATGGCTCCAGAGTTCTTGATGTATCAAATATTAAAGAAAAATAAAGAAAGAAAATATCTTCAACCACTTAATTAGATTTATAGTCTTTTCTCTGGAAGATGTTTATGGGTGAATTTGAGAGGAGAACCAAACATTGTAAGGTTCCTTATAATCACCTTTTTTTCTGTGTTACTTTTTCTGGTTGCATCTAGGAAGGATTTTTATATCTGAACCTTTCCATAAAGACTAGAATTACAGGTTTAAATGGAATGGCAGTGCTTTTAAATATATATTCTTTTTAATAATAATATAATAATGATACAGAAAATGTTCAATAGGAAAAGAAAAAAGTAGCCATAATCCCACTAATCATAATCACCTTTAGTTCTTAGCACTCAGGCTTTGGCTGGGGGTGAATGACCAGAGGTCCTGGCATGTCTGCCGAATCGAGAACACAGAGAAGTCCGAGGCTATATTCCCCACATTAACATCTTTCACCATTAAGAAAATGGCTTTGTAATTTATATTTTCAAAAGATAAACTCCTACTCCACGCACATTATTATTTTGTGAACATAGTATTACTAAATTCCTTGTACAAATCAGAAGATAGGGAGAGGAAATTGCAGATAACCCCCTGGCTATTTGAGACGCATAGATTCCAAAGAAAATACCACATTCAGTCATAGCAATAACATATTTTAAGAATGATGCAGAGCATGGAGAGACCCCGGAATTCTGACTTTGTAGCCTAAATACATCCAAATACCCGTCAGTGCCTGATGTACTCGATGTCTTGTGTGCCTGGGTCATCGGTTGCGGCTTCAAAGTCAAGAAAATTCAGTATCTAATTCTAACCAATCTTATAATGACTGAAAGAAAATTATGCATGTAACTTTTGCTTTTTGAATTCCGGAAGCAGATGCTAATACATTTCTGTTTCAAAGGAGAACCCTATACATGCTGTTTCCTATTTAATACATGTAATTCAATCCACTTAAAGCCTACAGCCCAGTACCTTACCTGGAGACGTATCCAAATGCCTTGCACAGATGCCTGATGTCACAATTCCATTAAAATGTATACACTGGTATCAACACAGGAAAGGTGGGCACAAGAATAATAAACAGACAAGGATTCTTGAACATAATTTCCCCAAGGAAATTCCACCCAGTTCCAATCATGACACAGTCCCCATTCCCTCAGAACTTGGGTATGCAGTCAGCACTAAAGTCATTATGGAGCCTCCCCTGGGCCCCCCACCATCCCAAGTATTCTTAACATTATTTTCACATACATCGGTTCTACAACAAAGTCAAAATACAAACTCTTTGAGGGAAATATTAATCACATAGAAAGTTCTTAATAAATACTATCAGTCGATTTTTTTCTTTGCTCTCACAGAGCCTAGGATGATGTGGACTCTTAACGTACAATCTTCAACACAATATTGATAATCATTGCAGACTGCCTTTGGGGTTTTTTAAAAAAGGAAAATCTTTTAATACCCAGGATGGTAAATCTTTTAGAAAAATATTGTTAAGACTATCTTACAGCTGTATAGTGCTCAAAATTGCACAACGCACTTCTATATTAATACTCTCAGTTAGTACTGATACGGATCTGAGTGGTAGTTTTTTAAATCAGGAAACCAGATTGAGAGAAGTAAAAGAATTCTTCTTAGTCATGCTGTCATAGGCAGTAGACCCTGGGCTTCAGGTGGCTTCATTTCAAGATACTACAGAATTAAAATATGTACGAAGCCTACAAGTAAAATACCTCTCCTGATAACACCACACACACACACACACACACACACACACACACACACACACACCCATCATTAACGAAAAACACCTCAGCAAACAGATGACAGTTTTAGAAATTGGGTCAGTTTGCTTTGGCCAGCAACCAAAAAGACTGGCCTTGTTCTATCAAGTACTTTAAATTTCCTTTGAAACAGAGAGAACCTGGTTGTTTTACAGCCAATTCCATTTAGAAGTTTAGAGAAATCCACAGCTTAAAAAAGGAGATTACGTCTTAAATATAAAGCATTAGGGGAAAAGATACATGCATTACCATGGTGGAATTAAGGGAGTTTTCTTCTTTATTCTATTTTTCAGTGTTTCTTTTTAATCATTCGCAAAGTTGGATTCCTCTGATACTAAACAAAAGGCAAGTACAGATACCTTCAAAGGGTGCCTGGAGAAAGTCAATCCCAGAAGCTAACGTGTGACTTCCACTCAGTTGATCCTAACAGAGTTGGCTCAATGGGCAACAAGCCTGTGGTCAACCTTAGGCTTTGGAAAGGTTAATGAAATGTAATTCGTCTTTCTAGGTGGCTAGAAGGGTGAGTAAGCAGAAAAGTAGAGACAAGGCAAGAAGAAATCAAAAAGAGAATGACAGAAAAAGTGAAGGCTACAAAGAGAGAAGAAAATGAAAGCGCAGTAAGCAAACCAAGACACCTAGAGACAGGTTCAGTGATGCAGACAAGTGCCCCTCACCAGCCAGGTCCTCACTAACAGAAGAGACACGGAGAGACTCGGGCTCCTGGTGACACCACCACATCCTACAGCTTCTCTGGGTGTCAGCAAGTGGAGCCGGAGTAAAGTTAAGACCGGGCTTACCTGTTTCTCCACTGTTTATTTACCATCAGCCTCCACCTGCCACAGAAAAAAATCTATTTTCCCTGGATCACTGATAATGTGCGACAGAGGTAGGGTGAGAACAGCATAAGCCAACTTTACTCTAGTCTCCCTACTCTCACGAGAGTGCTCTTTAAAGTATTTATTCTTACTCTTGACACTCTTTTTTTTTTTTTTTAAGATTTTATTTATTTATTCATGAGAGACAGAGAGACAGAGGCAGAGGGAGAAGCAGGCTCCCCGCGGAGCAGGGAGCCTGATGCGGGACTCGATCCCAGGACCCTGGGATCATGACCTGAGCCGAAAGCAGACGCTTAACCGACTGAGCCACCCAGGCGTCCCACTCTCGACACTCTTAAACGTGTCAATGGGCTGTGTGTGTGTGTGTGCGCGTAGTGCTATTTTTTAGCCCTTGAATATGCAACTAATACTGCCGATACAGAATGGAGTATGATGAGCTGGGCTTTTCTCCCCACTTCAACTCCCCCACCCCCTCCCAAGATGTTCATTCTAGAAGACTCCTGTCATATAAGGCAAAGCTGTGCTGCTCAGGCACTCCTATGGGAAACAGGCCCCTAGGAGCAAGCGCGTCACTATAAGGTTAATGGTCTCATGGCTTTTAGATATAACGAACTCTGACGTCAGTCTGTGAAATGGCCTCTTGTTACGTCTCTCCTACCACCAAATCCAGCCGCCTAGGTAGGTAGGGGGCTCAAGCATGAGGACCCAAGAATTTGTGAGGAAGGATTAAGCAAAGTCATAAAGAGACAAACAGGGTTTGGAGAGAAAAGGGAAAAGACACGATGACAAAAGTTTAGAGGAAATTCTCTAAATCTAGGACTTAGGAGCTTGGGAAATCAGACAAACAGATGAGAGATATATCCCTAATACTCTCCCACCTCTGTTTTTATGAGTTGGAATAATTTACATGTCTCTGGAGTAAAATCTTAACAACCTTCAATTGGATGGAATCCTTGTACAAGACTGGATAAATTTAAGACCATTTTATTACAGACAGTTCAATCTCTCTCTTGCACAATAAGGAGCATGGTGCTGGGGTTAAAGGATCCAAAGGTAGAGCAACAAACGGACCCCTGTCCCCTTCCCCACAGGCACACATAACCTCCCACATGGCTGGCTCCTTCCTTTCTTTCTGAAGAAGCAGCAGAGGAATCAGAGCAGAGCTCCCTGAGGAGCTCCCCGCAGGCCCCTCTCCATCCTCAAAGTCACAGCTAACATATGTCTCTGGTTCTTCAGGACCCTGGTGTTCTTGCCATCCTCACATGTAGGCAGCAAACATGCCATAACATGGTTTTGCCCCAAGAGACGGAACAACATTTGCCATCCTGCCTTGCCCCCATGCCCTGCTTTCACAGTATGCCATGGAAAACAAACAGCCCAAGTCAGAAGAATGAGAGCATCTTCCCATCAAGCATCGCGAGAGGCTTTCTTCCCCAAGGATAGGCTACACAATTTGATAATGTACTGAAATTTCGACTAGCATGTGACCAATGGTTCTACAAGAAATGGTGATAAGGAAGAGGAAATGAGAGGATTATAAGTTATAAAAAAGAGAGACACTGCTGGTAGCATGAAAACAGTGCCCGGGG